TGAATTCCAATCGAGAGGCCCATTTTTTACCACTTTTTGCAGAAATGGTAACCGTATGTCAGCAATAACGCACCCAATATTCTTTCCCAAAGCGTCAATCGTTTTGGATTCACCTAGACAAATGATTTCACATAACCCCACAAGCAATAGTCCAACGGTGTTAAATCGCACGATCTTGGGGGCCACGCCGCAGACCTACGCAACAAGATAATGCGCTCACCAAAAATATCCTTCAAAAACTTGATCGTTTGGTGGCTATATGGCATGTAAACAGTTGGAACCAATGGTCGCCCACATCAAAATCCTCTAATCCTGGCACGAAAAGGTCAATAGACTTGGCTCTATAGCGTTTACCAATGACTGTAGTATTATGTCATTTTTGAAGCAGTATGGAGCAATGATTCTCTCTGCCCATAGTGCTTTGGTATGTAGTGATTTTTTTGAGTATCTAAAGGCTTCTCAATAACAAGTTGTGGATTATCATCACTCCAAATGCAATCGTTTTGTTTATCAACATACCCATTCAACCAAAAAGTGGGCTTCATCGCTGAACAGATATATATAATATCTATATCCCTCCAGGTACTTGTTGTACAGTTGAATAACGTCCAGATATAGATGCGCTACTCAGCGGCGAAACCCGTTCGGTTTTAGACGACTTTAAAACACCCCACGATTTTTGGCAAACTCTCCTATCAAATGCGACAGATCCAAGATAGATTAATCGACATTCTTCACCATATATAACAATTGGGAGTGCTGGTCTAATAAACAGCATAGTCTGGCGATCTATGCCGACGCTAACATTAGATTATTTGGCCCCAACTGTCCTGATTAACAAGCCTCTGTACTTCGATTCCGTATGCCAATGGGCAATGGTTAACTCTACAAAACCGGAGTATCGATTCATATCTCTCCTCACCACAGAGCGAAGACAATTGAAACCTTACTGCTTTTACCTCGCTTTCAAGGACTATGATTCCACCGGGCCACAAACCACACCAAATTCCTGAATCTCTTCCTGTCGCTCTTGGTCCCAAATGCGGCTTAGCTTGTTTACATACCCTGGAATTCTGGAATTTTTCAAAGTCCCATAGATCGAAGCGACGCCGGTTAGGAAACATTTTGTTTATCAACATACCCAATCAACCAAAAAGTGAGCTTCATCGCTGAACAGAATTTAGTTCGCAAAAACGTAATCGCTAGAATTTTCGTTTTTGAACCTTTCACCGAACATGCGACGCGTTAGAAAACGTTTTTCTTTAATTCTTATACGTGTTGAATTATTATGTGCAATGGCGGATGGGCTCATTCGGATCTTATCCGGATCTTATTCGATACTCTGTTGCACAGCAGCAATAGCGTCTTCGGTGTATCTCTGAGGATGTGGATTATCTACTAAAGTAAATGTATTGTTGTTGTTGTTGTAACCACAAAATTATTCCCCAAAGTACTTTTTGGGTAATGTTGCGGGAGTAACAGTCCTTGGCCGGATAAAAATCCGGGTCGTTCCGGTATAAAGACCCGACTGTCGCGGGAACTTTTGGATTTTAGTCGCCTCTTACGACAGGCATGTCTTACCGCGGGTAAATTCTTGAGCCCCTAACCCGCAGGGTGTACTATAGTAAATGTTGTACGGTACTGTTCCTTGGTTGATTGAATTACCAACTCTGCTGAGCTCCAATCGAACCATTATTTTGGTTACAAATTTGCGCAATTGGCAAAAGTTGCTCTGGAATAAGTCTGTTAATTAAAAAATTACAAACCAAATTGAGTATAAATCTAGTAACAGCTGTCAAAAAGATCAACTCTGAAACTCGAACTCCAAATATATTACCCCATTGAATTCAGCACATCTAAGAAAAAACACCTTTTATGCAGTCATTGGCAAGTTGTAGTATGTGCATTTAGGTAGCCAGGCCTGTTGTGTAGATATGCATAAATGTGTGTATTTGCAACTGCGTTTTCCTGTTGTATCTGAAAGCAGTTTTTTATGATTTCTTACACTTTTTACACAAAATTCTTATGTTCGTTGATTTGTTTCTTTTTATTTTATTTATTACTATAATGTTTTCGATAAACTGGATTATACAAAAAATTTTAGTTTAGCACTTCAAGTTTCTTGACATAAATTTTAAAAAGTCAATAACAGATTAAAAAAAGTATTTCATTAAAGAAATCGCTTAGACTATAGACTCGCTAAATATTAATTTATATCATTAATACACACTTAATAAGTTGAAAACGAATTAATTAATGTAAATAAATAAAGGTGTTTAATCTAACTTTCGTTGCATTAAAAGTAAAAAAGCAAATCGGTTAAATCTTTCACCGCAAGTTTTCTATGTAGACAATCCGGCAGCGTTGTTGAGAATAAAGCTATGAGAAAAAATATTTTATTTATATTATAAATACAAACTATATATGTTTAATTAAATTACAAGCTTACCATGTTGATGATTTTTTTGCGCCTTACAATTGTAATCTAATAAACTACATAAGTTTTTAAATTTATAGCAATCTTTACCGTTGGTCGCAAAAATATTCTCCATACCATTAGGGCACATATTTTGTATATCATCGCAGTTTATTTTATTGCAAATTACATAAATAAAGAGATAGGTAGTGAAAAATAAAACTATAATAATTTTTGACATTTTTCAGTCTAAATTGAAAGCGCTCTATTGCCAGTAGCATTCGTGTTGAACTACAGCATTCGCAAAGTTTTGTAAAATTAATACTTCAGACTTCAAATCTCAAAGACATAATGAATTATTCAAACACTTGTTCAAACTTTAAATAGGTTAAGAAAATATTAGAAGAAGAAAATTTGAGACGAGATGATTAAATAAAATTCTTTTCAACATCTGGACAGGATTAAGTTTGTCTAGTTTTTTTTTTTTTTTTTGTTTTACTTTATTTCAACAATTGCGCAAAGTAGCCGAATATATTTTCGAGTCTTATTGAAAGCAGAGTGATTTTTGTGAGGACAAAATTATTTATCTACGGACAGATAGCAGAAGAACTCTTTCGCAATAAAAGTCGCTGATAGCGACTATAAATCAATTTATGTTGAATTGAGTTGAGTTGCGTTGATGCGGCTGCTGATCAGAGCGACCAGCGCACTTACATGTGTCCACTGTGATATCTTTTTTGATGTACGAAACATTTCGTGTGCTTTATGAACATTGCGCTATCGCCTATACCAGCCGTTGCAGCCTCGGCCAAGTAATCGTTGAAGTGCTATCCCAGACAATAATGACGCATAGTGCTTAGGACGCTTCTTCGCCCCTTCAAAAAGTATCCCGTTCTCCTGCGGCGAAGTGCCATTAAACAGAGTGTTGAAATCATCTAAGAGCTTTATATTTCTTAATATTTTAGCATCCAGGACAGACCAAAACCATCTAGTCACGTTACAAGTTCTGTTGCTAAGCCATCTGGTGTTGGCTTTTTTGATGAAAGCCAGCTTCAGCATGAGTGTTGCCGTAGACAGAGGTACGCCCGCAAAGTGCGTAGAAATTATTGTATTTTCTCTTGCTAGCTCATCTCCCGCACAGTTGCCTGAGATGTGCTTACGTCGGGGTACCCAGACCCCGTCTGTGTTTCATCTAACTGTTAGCTTGTTTAAAGTATTGTATGTCTGCGTTTTAACGCTACCCGTTATGGAGTGCAATTGCATTGCAGAGATCTGATGACAGCTTGCCTATCCTAGTATGTATATTGTGATTGATTGGTTAGTAACCAGAGATCGGAGCAATCATTCTGCGACTACCGTGATTGCAATAAATACTGCTTGGAAGACACTGCAGTATGCTCAAATTAAAGTTGTTTGAGTGCGCTGGTTAGTGAAATATACAGTCTACCCTTTAAATGAGTTTAGAACCATTCGTGAAGATGGTCATGCCACTCTGATTCAGAGCAAAATATTTTCCCAATTTTCCGGAATTCTTAGGTAGAAGAGATTGACAAAACAGAAAATGGAGATGGCGCAGTCCAACTTTGCTCGAAAATTTACGGAAATCTTATGACGAATGAGTAGATTTTTATAATAATCTTTCTTCTTTGGAGGTATTTACTTACGACCATATTGCGTTTGGCTCTAAAAAGTCTCTGCATGGTAACCACCGAGAAAAAATGGAGTAGAACTATTACTTGCGGAGCACACAGCTTATCGTGGAATAGTGCAGGACTGCAAGCTACTGGAGAAGCTCAAAATGGCGGAGAATCTTTTACAATTCAGAATATGACGTTATACGTACCTCACGGCGGTGGTGAAACCAATCTTACCATATGGTGTTTTAGTATGGTAAACCGCTAAGATCTACTCCGATGGTAACACGCCAAAAGAATTACGGCCGTAATGATGATTGTAAAGCCTGTGCCTCATCTTGAATTCCTCTATTTATCGACGTTCTCAAGAGCTGGGCTTTCATACGACACATTATGATGTATTTTGAACTGAAGCTGAATGCTGATCACTCTTAACGCCTTATATATGTACATACGTCAATTAGGTGCTTGAACAACAAGTAGTGGATGGCGATTTTTCGAGCAAAATTTTCTTCAGCAGTAAGGCATATTTCTCTCTCGGTACTTGGGACTCTAAGGATAATTGAAGAAAGGCCGGTACATAAAAAAAGGTTTCTAAAATTTTGGGGATGGAACATAGCATTGCTATATCCCATTAATAAATAAAATTATAGCATTTTTTTTAATGGCCAAAAGTAACACCTTTCACTCTTACTTCCGCGAAGCTAATGCTTTTCCGCTGAGAGTACAAGCACGATTTTTAACCGTAAACAACGACTGCTAGACGGTTAATGTACTAAATTTTATATTTTAGAGAACTTTAATTTTGCATGTTAAAAATGATATTAAAGAAGAGGTTTTAAAATAATATATATATATATATATAAATAAATAATCTAAATAAAAAATTATAAACCAAATATTGATACAAATGATAGCAACTTAAAAATTAAATGAAATCTATTTGGCGACAAGTATACCCGGAGTTTAAAGCTACTCAATCGTAATTATTGTATATTTTCTACAACATTTGTTTATAGGCAGACGGTACCGTTAATCCCGATTAACTACGCTTTTAATTGGATCGAAGTTTCAAGGTAACAGACAGCAGTGTTGGGAGTAAGTGAAGTTAGTGAACAGCTGATTGATATTTTAATACTATTTTCAGTTTTTCAGAGTAAAATAGTTTGAAGTCAAACATTGCTTTTATTAGCCGCACATTCTCCCACGGCCCGAAGAGCTGCGTCTCTTCCACCATTGGTCACCGTGTACGCTTTTTTCTACAAGCCATCTGATGTTGAAACAAAAAGTAATATATGTAATTTAAAAGAAAAATATTAAGTACTAAAATTATGCAATTTTTGTTTATATGCGTCACTTTATAAATTTGATTTGTTTGTTGGTTGAAAAACAGTTGTCATTCACAATAGAATTCTGCTGGTAATTTTCAACAACGTTGCCGAAGAAAATGTCACAAACGTTTTATATTTTTGACACTCATTTTTGGAGTTCGCAGCAGAGTAAGCTGTAGTGACTCCTGAGTTAGTTCCAATTAATACAGTAAATCGGGTTTAACGCCACCGTCTGTCAAGGCTAATACACAAATCTCTGTAATAAATTTTCTTTGCAATTAGACTGTAATTCAAATTTTGTTCCCAATTAAACGCGTCTATTGGTGCATGATAAGCTTAAAAACTCGACTTTTTTAATTTTTTATGGAAATATTTATAAAAAGTAATAAATTTATAATCGGCAGCTCGCTATATGCAAATAATTGAAGTTACTTAATTTTACAAAATCGATGCATTTTATTTTTTTCAGTCTCATTCTTCACAAGCAATTAAAATTCAATTAATTACTAACTTAAATGAATTATGTATTATGTTAACGGTGTACAATAGCTCATTACTTTCCGACAGCTGTTTGGATCTCTGACACCAATGGTTATGATAAATGTAATTATTTCAATAGATTCATAATGCAAGATTTCGAAATTTAATAGCAAACATACATATATACATACCCATGCTCAAAAGAATTGAATTGTTGGATTATTGCGCAAAATTTTATTAACAGTTCACTGTTTTGATTGATTATGTTTAGTGGAGTAAACGGCTAAGTAATATTGTTTAATAAGAAAAGGCAAAAAATTTAAAAAATATAATTGGTATTGGTATGGATATTTAGTTTATATGTTCCTAGAGAATATATAAAACGAAATAAAATAAAATAAAATAAAATAAAATGAAATAAAATAAAATATAATAAAATAAAATAAAATACACTCAAATAAAATATTGCTAGTTCACCCTTCGTTTAATATCAAACGACTCGGAGAGGTAACTCCCGATTCTGACGGAGATTTTGGTCTTGTTAAACGTCAGTTTACCCAGTAGTATAAGTTTGGTGGGGATTCCAAGCTCAGACGGGTAGGGCATTGAAACAGTTTCTTTTCGTGAAGAAGTGGTGTCGATCCTCCTTTTACTGGATTTTTCCAATATTAGGCGCGTGATGAACATATGGTGAATGGTAGTTTTGCTTTTGTCCGACTGACGCATTCACCTTGTTAGTTCGACGCCACCGTATTTGAATAGCTCATTTAGCCATCCATAGGCCCTCACAGCTCTGGGTTTTTTCAAGCGGGCAATTTGCTATTCGAACTTCTTCATTGTCTGGCAATAAAACAATTGTCATCCGTTGGAGAAACGGGTTCGTCATCTACCGGCTCAGAGGGCTCTGCTATAAACTATGCATGACTCGCTCAGCACCTTTTTTGGCTCTGCAGCTCGAGTAGTAAGCCGTTCGGCAGTCTGTTGTAATGGCATTTTCCAACATCGATCTTTTCTTATGTGTGTTGACTTACATTCTTTTCTGCACAGAGAAGGGTGCGTGCCTTTGCTACTGCAAGATCGTGGTCCGAGTCGATGTTGTATCCTCAGAGCGTACGTACATCTAAAACACTGGAGACTGTTGTCCGTCCATAACAACATGATCGTGATGCTTGTGAGTTTATTGAACTGCATCCGGCCAGATAACTCGCTGAGGTGATTGTGAAGTAGAACAAGAAAAATATTTTTGTTATTTGGTTAATACCAGCGGCGTCAATCTTGAAACTTGAATCAAAACTAGATTTTATGCTTCCGTTTTGGCCCAGCCATTTCTATTGATACGTGGTTTTGCATACGTTTAACGTCTAATGAAACACCCTATATAACCTTACATACGTCACACCTATTCAAATTGTTTACATTTCATATAACCCCTTTCCCTTTTGTCTACTTTTGCATTGAAACAAAATTTTAATTGTTTGCTTTATTAAACACACATACACACACACACGTGCATATGGATATTTGCCAGTGTATGAGTGTTTTTGTCTCTGTAGTGAGCTACTTCCTAGCCAAGTCATAGTGAAACGTGTCACTTGTGCAAACAACAAAATTATTGTCTCAAGCGTGCACACCCCCACCGTTCCTACCAGAAGTAAAGATTTTGCTTAGGATTGATGTACGAGTATGTATGTATGTACGAGTATATTCGCTTGCTTCTTATTCAATTTGGCGATATGAACTACTTTAGTATATCTGTTTTGCTGCATACAAGTAGTTTATTCATAAGAATTCGTGTAATTATTTAAAAAGAAAATTAAAATAATTTTAAATAAAATTAATAAAAAAATGTGCAATCTTCGCACTCATACAATTTCGATTTTTATTGTTGTGAACTGTCTGGCGCAAATCGCTCATTCGCAGCGATTTCAAAGGGTGACGACCACGGAAAGACGTGTCTGTCCGGAGCGTTGCAATCTGGCCTTCCGCTGTGACCCATACTACAGTGGACCGCCGGTGTGGACGATTGTGGATGGTGTTTGCAAACTGTTCAAGACAGACTGCCTCTTCGCCAGCGCCAATTGCCAACGTCAGAATGCCTGTGTGCCAAGTGAGCGCCAATAATAATTTTTCTATTTTTATTTTCGCTTCAAATTCACTCTAAAAATTTCCATAAGAATTGTCAACCACCTCACAACAAATTTGCCAGACCAAGTGCAAGGAGGGGTGTGAGCGTGTGCCTGCTAAGCCAGTGTGTGCTGCTTTTCCCTATGTAACGGTGCATGGCGATCGAAATGATGGCATGATAACGTTTCGAAATCAATGTGAACTGGACAAATGGTCCTGTTGGAACTCAAAAGGTGGACTTATGAACTGATATGGATTTGATGTGATTATATTGTCTATTTTATTTCACAGCGTATATTTCTGCAACCGAAGGCACCTGTTTTTGAAATACACGGAAATAACATGAAATAATGGAACCAGATTTGGAAAACCTGCACAGCGAGTGAAAAATAAAATCGAATAGTATGTCCAAAGCAAAGTCTTTTAATTGGAATGTATTTGTGGGTTTGAATTTAAAAATAGCCGAAACTCATAAGCCGATTGGGAGTACAAATAAATACGGACACCCTTCTGTGGGCTCGAAAAAGTTTTTTTTTCATTGAAAAAAGGCGAGAATTACATCAGTAATTAGCAGTGTTTAGTGTCATCTGGAAGCTCCAGCTCGAGTCCAGATCCGACCAACATCCAAGAATTATAGAAAATCAATTAAAATAAATAATTAAATTATTTTTCTAATTGCGTTAGCCCCTCAACAAGGAATGTCAACAAGCTTCAAGTGTGTTCCTGGCATAAATAAAAGCTCATCATAAAAATCCATCCGCTGTTCGGAGGCGGCTTAGGATAAACTATACGTCCTCCAACATTAAACGTCCACCACAAATTGAAGGAGAAGCTCAGCCAAAAGTCTCTTCAGTGGCTACAAAAATCTATTGAATAAGCTTTCGCCGTCCTCGTTCCAAATCATTGAACCATTCGATTTCTGCAAAATATCCAAACCGATGACAGGCCAAATCATTTTCCATCTTTCGAAAATGCCAATATTCGGAAGTAGCAATATCTGGAGAATACGGCGTATGGGGTAAGACCTCCCATTTGAGTGTTTTTCAAGTAGTTTTTGACCGTGAGAGCGTGCTGGAACTGAGCGTTGTCATGTTGCAAAATCAGCTTGTCAAGCATTTCGGTCATTTCTGGCCGTTTTTCACGCAATGCATGGATCAAACACATTAGTTGTAGTTGATAACATTTCGTATCAATGATTCGTCTGGTTTTGGCAACATCCTTCATCCTTCATCTACAAACTTTTTCGTTTGACCGGCTCGATATTTGTCTTCAACGTTAATATCGCCACTTTTGAAGCGTCAAAACCAGCATTACCTTTCGGTCAGCGCAGATTCACCATAAACTTACACAAGTATTCAGTGGGATTCAGTTGCACTTTTCTTCCAATTAAAATAAAAAAAAACATATTTCACGCAGAAGCAGATGCTCCGCAATTATTGTTGATAGATGTGAAACCTTTCCAATGAAATGAGTCATCGCTTCTAAAATCGGCCACAACTTGCAGGTGGAGCCATATTTTGCGAACGGACCGAAGTATTTTGTGCCCCCAATGAGTGCTGAGAAATTGCATGGATTTCACATATTTCAAGTCGATCCGAGTAAAATTTTCGAAGATACAAAGGCAGATGTGCTTTAAATTTCAAACGGGCTTGTATCGAAACTGAGTTTTCAAAACAGCTCGTCAAAATTTCCAAAAACTACTCAACCGATCTTGATGAAATTTTACACAGATCTACGAGAAAATCCAATTTAACCTTTTTATTTTTCGAGTTTTTTCAGATTTTCAACAAAATTTATTTAGAATTTAAAAAAGTCGAAATTTCCATTACGAAAAGCACTGTACAGGATTTGAGCCACAAGGCAATGGATTTTCTTGGAACCAAACTGAAAAGGCAAAGAGAAAGCACAAGAGTTAGATAAATCTTACATATATACATATGTATATGCATTTCCAGGATACACTCACATTCGCCGGTATTGCACAGATGCTTCGCCCATTCGCATTGGCTGGGGAAGGTGCAATATTTATCGCCACGACGCGTACAAACCGTATCCTTTGGCGCTTGAGAGCAGTCATTCACGCACAATTGCTGACACTCCTGTTTGCTCACCTTTTCAAGTACTGAATTTTATGAATAAAATATTTAGAAAAAAAAAACACTTTATTTTTCATATATTTTAAATTAAACTGCAATGTGCTCTCACATGGACGCCCCTGCCGATGGCGCGCACAATTGGCTTGATCGAAGAGACACGAATTCAGAATGGTTTTACACTCATTATTCTCATCTCTCGACCAAACCAGATCCTCATTTTGAAAATTACAGTCAATAATAAGTCCGGGCCTACATCTTGGCGGCGGCGTAGTTGATTGTCTATAACCACTGGTTAATTGTGCGAAAATCGCAGCCAATAGTGCCAGCAGACAAGTTAAGCGAACAGATGTCATTTTCAAACTGAGCACTCGAATTGGGTTTTTGTAAAGTGATTACTCGTACTTTTGTGGCTTGCGGGGGATGTACCTTATACTAGGTCAGTTGTATAGCTGGCGAGACACTGCGTTACACTCAAGTACACGTATTTATGTCTGTCTGTATATGGAATTGATGTAAAGCCCCACTATCATTACCATTTTTACTAGAAATTTTCATAATTTTTTTATGCCAACATTACAAATATATTTAATAATAATTTTTCATTATATTGGGTGTTTAAAAAACACATCTGACAAATGATGAGAATCCCACTTAATAAAAGCACCGACCGTGATTTTTTCTTTGTTGCTTTATCGTTCGTTTTGTTATTTATTTCGCGAAATGTGAAGGTTGAAAAGTTTTTATGTAAGCATACACCTCCCATTGTGTATCATATTTCGGTTAAGGCCAGGTTTGCTAGAAAACGCTCTTAGAAATAATGTAGACTTAGTCTCGAAGGTCTGAAAGACCAAGAAGTGAGTATAAAAGGGGGGAGAGCGCAGTGTGGAGCGCGTCAAGCGGTAAATCATGAATCATGAACTAAAGCTTTAATCGCATTATTCTCGAAACCCCTTTTTTCAGCTGGGTGACACTCTCATTTGGAACCTATTGAACTTAACAACATGAACTAAACGGCTTTTACGCGGGCGTCGGTCTGGAAGCAAGCGGCTCGCTATATATATAAATGTGTAAACAAAACTTCAAACTTACACGCCTAGCGATGTGCGCTAGGTTTAGGACCCGCCACGTAGAAACCAGCCTCAATGAAAAATTTAACAACGCCTCAGATGAGATACCTCCTTTCTGTTGATGGCCTCCGCAAACAAATTAAGGATCACGAGTTGAGGGCATGTACCTGAAATGTCCGGTTCTTTAAATGGGAAGGTGCCGCTGCCCAGCTGCTTGATGTCCTCGTAAGAATATACGCTAGCATCACCGTCGACCAAGAAGTGCGATGCACGGGACAAGAACGAAAGCGAGTAAGTTGCTGTGACATTTACTACAGCGGCCATATAAAGGAGCGCAAATTTGTTGCTGGATTTGTGGTGGTAGAGAGACTTCGTCGTCGAGTACTGGCATTCACCCCGGTGGATGAGCGTCACGTCATAATCTGCATTAAAGCGAAATTTTTCAACACATAGTTGATTTGCGCCCACGCCCCAACGAAAGAGAAGTACGATTTGGCCAAAGATGTTTTTTATGGGCGCCTAGTAGAGCATACTTACGAGCGCTGCCCCCGATGTGAAAATCGTGCTTGGCGATTTTATTTCCCCTAATGGGTTGGGGCTGATCGACTTCGCCGGAGCCCGAAATATGGTTGTCTGTAGTACCAGATTCCAGCACAAAAAAATACATCAACCTACTTGGCTGTCCCCTGATCGAAAAACACAAAACCAGATCGATCATGTTGTGATAGACGGAAGACATGCCTCCAGTGTTCTTGACGTGCGTACACTTCGAGGACCCAACATCGACTCGGACTCTTGTTGCAGCGAAGATACGCATGCGCCTCTGTGTATCGAAGAACGCCCGTTTACAAACACAAGGAAAGTTCGACGTTGAAAGGCTGCTGAACGATTTTCTACTCGACTTGTACCCCTGCTCTCTGAGAGCACTCATCAACAGCTCGGTATACAGGAACTGTGAGACGGCATCGCAAACTCCCTACGTACAGCTGCAAGCGAAACTATTTCATTTCGTAAAGGTCGCAAAAACAGGTGGTACGATGAGGACTGCCGTATCGCAGTGGAGAGAAAATAGACTGCCTACATAGCAACCTTGCAATCGACCACAACACGTGCGGGATGGGATAGATACCGAGAGATGAAGAGGAAAGCAAGAGGCATCTGCAGACAAAAAAAAAAGAAAAAGTCTGAAAAGCTGGCCGACAAGGGTAATGCTCGACAATTCTTTGAGAAGATACGATGACTTACGGAAGGTTTCAAGACCTTACTCTTCCCAATCCATCAATACTCCTTAGTATCGCCTGTAAGGTCCTGTCGAGCGTACTGTGTGAAAGACTGAAGGCCACCGTCAACAAACTGATTGGACTTTATCAGTGTCGCTTCAGACCTGGTAAATCAACCATTGACCAGATCTTCACCACCCTTGCCTTTACTCCGCTATGTCTGAATTAGGTATCCCCGCAAAACTTATACGGCTGTGTAAGCTGACGCTTTATAACTCCAAAAGGGTAGTCAAATTTGGGAAGGACCTCTCCGAGCTTTCGGTATCAAACAAGGTTTCAGACAGGTTGACTCTTTGTCATGTGATTTCTTCAATATGATGCTGGAGCAAATAATGAAAGTTGTAGAGCTGAATAGAGAAGGTACAGCCTTCTATAAGAGTGTACAATTACTAGCGTAAGCCGATGATATTGATATTATCGGCCTCAACAACCGCGCCGTTAGTTCTGCTTTCTCCATACATGATAAAGAAGCGAGGCTAATGGGTTTGGTAGTGAACAACGGCAAGACGAAAAATCTCCTGCCATCACACAAACAGTCATCGCATTCGCGACTTGGCTCCCACGGCACTGTTGACAGTCATAATTGTGAAGTAGTAGATAATTTCGTCTATCTAGGAACCAGCATCAACACCAACAAGAATATCAGCCTTGAAATCCAACGCAGAATCATTCTTGCCAACAGGTACTACTTCGGACTGAGTAGGCAATTGAAAAGTAAAGTCCTCTCCCGACGAACAAAAACTAAACTCTACAAGTCCCTCATCGTTCCCGTCCTGCTATATGGTGCGGAAGCATGCACGATGACAATATCTGATGAGTCGGCGTAAGGAGTTTTCGAAAGAAAGGGTTTGCGTAAGATTTATGGTCCTTTGCGCATAAGCAACGGCGAATATCGCAGACAACGGAACGAGGAGCTGTACGAGTTATTCGCTGGCTATATCATGTCATCCGGATGGATGCGAATACTCCAGCTTTGAAAGTTTTCGATGCAGTACCCGCCGGTGGAAGCACAGGAAGAGGAAGACCTCTACCCCGTTGGAAAGACCAGGTAGAGAAGGACCTGGCTGTACGTGGTATTTCCAATTGGCGCCAAACAACAAAAAGAAGAAACGAATGGCACAATGTTGTTAAATCGGCTATAATCGCGTAAACGGTGTCTGCGCCAGTAAAGTAAGTAAAAAGTAAAAACAACTATCGCAAAAGAAACCCGTACTGTGAGAACTTATTTATTTGTATTTATGTTTATTTCTTGAACAGCTTACAAATGTTGAAAAAGTTCATCATAAAAAAATTGTTCACAGTATTTGTGAAGCTCCAAAATATTCTTGTTGAGAATTTGGTGCATCAAAATCCCGCCGCTTCCATTTAATTCCCGTTTTTGATGTTAATTCATAAATTTAATGATGTACAAGTAGCATGACACCCTCCAGCTCCATATCATCATCATTATAATTGTCATCAATAAAATATTAGTTAAATAAAGCTCTAAATAAAAAAACACAGTCGGTCGGAGGCGGCTTAGTATTAACTATAGGTCCCTCCATTTGTCGAAAAAACATCCATCAAGATACTATACCACAAATTGTAGGAGGAGGACGGCCGAAAATAGCTTACAAAACGCCAATTTCTCAGGAAACGGAAGTGCACTTTCTCTACATGATAAATTGTAATAACTTCTTGAGCTATTCACATTAAATTCACGCACGCATATGTAAAGCTTTGCACATTAACAAGCACTAAAGGATCAACTATTTTTAAAAAATATCACAATTTCTCTTCCAGTAGCGGGAAGTAATATTATAAGTTTTTACTCGCACGAAAAGTGGAAGCAATGCAACTGCTTAGTTTTATATCGGCAGATGTCGCTAAAAGATTTTTATTTCAGCCTGAAATGAAATGTTAGAAAACCAGAGTTTATATAATTTGGTATTCCCTTTTAATATGCTTTATTTAAACTTCATTCGTTTGCTTTTATTTTATATATCATTATATGTCAACAAAAATGCCCAATAAACTCAGTTTTCAAAGCAAAGCCACAGACCACATTACGTCAGTTACATATTTCCCAACCGCAGCTAAATCTACTTAAATTTTTGACGTTTTACTTTTGTCTATATGACAGTCCACGAATATCAAGTAATTCTATTGACAAAAAGAAAAAAATTTTCAATTGATACAACAATAAAAAATCTTTTATAGTGGAAAACATTTAAAATCGTGCTCGAAAAACAATATAAATGTATTCTCATGAGTAATGTAACTTTGAAGAAAATAATTATATACAAACATTAGTATTAATATCGGCTTATTGTGGTACATAACAAGTGAATTCAGCGACGTGCTTTTAATGAGCACATTCTCCCCTCGCAACACCTCAAACTCTAGCAAACTGAGTAAAGCAACAGTGTGTGCAGTATTGTGTGGCATCTGACATGTCCACGCATGATGGCACTTGCAATGAGGATATATATTGTCCTCAGCCAGCCACTGTGGGTGTGGAGGTCGCGCCGCAGTTGTTAGCCCAACATATGAACGTTACGGCACCACCACCACCGCCGCATACACTTTTGATGGGATCAACGTATATGCAGCCGCAAGCACAGCCACTGCAGCCATCGCAACAGCAGCAGCCACCACAACAATTGGCGCAACACTATAATGAGTACTTTTACAACTTGTATGCAACACAACCTGGGCAACCGGAAACATATTCAGTTCTTCCGGTTGGGCATGGAAATTTTCTGAAAGTGTATCACTGCCAAGAAAATACTGCAGGTACGGGCATTACTAATGATGGCACTGCACTATACCATGCACAGGCGCAATCTCAAGCACCGCCACAACAATATCAACAACAGCCACAGCCAGCCTTTCATATGCGGCAACCACAACCGCAGGCCCAAGCACCACAGTACTTTAACAGCTATGAACTATTCTCAAGCAATACTATAATGCCAACACCGGATAGCCAGACCACACTTGGTCGTTCTGAGATTAAAACGACAACAATGACTCTCACGCAACAAGCACCTATATACGTGATGAATAACCAAGAAGAACCGATTATACCACAAAATGCTAGTACGTCAACAACCAATATGATTATAAATAAACTTGTAAATAATTGGTCACCAAAAGTAACAGGTGCACCAATTCAACAATTCCCATTGCAATCGCCCACAGTGCTAATAAACCCTGAGTCAACTAATAACGCCATGGAACCAGAAATATTTAACAGCGGTGTCGTTCAAGTTTTGACAAATGATTTAGAAGATCAATCTAATCTAATATCTGCTGCTCCAACACCAACACAACCGATGCCAGTATTGCCTGTAACTCAAGTACCGCCTATAGAATCGTTGTCAACTGAGAACCAAAATAACTCCAAAGATGCAGTGAGTAATAACGCCATTTCATCATCCAATGCTGCCTTGTCGCCAACCGTGTCAGCATCGCAGATTAATGTTGCGCCAGAAGTAAAGAAGAGAATTGTAGCCGAAGTTAAACCAATGCGAATGTCTTATTCAGATGTATTGAGTAAAGTGAATGGTCAGCAATCTGCTACCGGCCTGTTGCAAAACAATAATAAGCAGACAAATGGCAAAAATGGAAAAACTCCAGCACCTGAACGAAAAGCCGAAAACGGTAAAAGTAGTGCGGATAACGGTATTGGCTTACCACGTAGACAAATTAGTATTGGTGAAGAAGGGAACGTACGTTCGAGTAAAAAGTCTCCAACACATGAAAACAAAGAGAACTTATTGCAAATTCAAAATGGTAGTGCTGTGAAGAACACGAAACGTTTAAACAACGGCAACAATACTGTTGCTTCGCCTGCCAATGACCTTACTACAAACAATAATACTCAAAACAAAAATGGCCAAAAAGGCAACCAGAAATCAATAGTCACTGAAGCTAACGTCGCCAATGGAAGTAAGAGCAATAGTAACGGAATTTCCAAAAAGCGCAGCAGCAACAACAACAACAACAAACGAAGTGAATTGGACACAAACAAAATGGAACAGAATGGTCAAAAAAGCACGAAATCAAATTCTGGCAATAGTGAGAAAGACTTCAATGGTTATTACAATATAACGGCAAAAAATAACGAGGGTGGAGAACGTGCTTCTAAGACGACTAATAACGGCTATGTTCCAAGTTCAAGTAACGTAAACACATCGACAGCAAATACTCGCAAATACAACAAATCGGCATCTTCATTCAACAATAGTTCCAACTCTTCATCTTTCAGTACGAATCAGCCACGCACACGATATAGTAATAGTAACTCGAATTCCTCTTATTCATACTCATCGAAACGTAGCCGAAATACTAACTCTTCCTATGGCAACACTTCGGCTGGGTCGTCGAATAGAAACTATGAATTAGCTAAAAAGTTTTTAAGCACTTGGCTGGAATATACTATAAAAATACTGACCTGGCTATTCTATTTAATCTATGATATTGTGGTGCTTGGTTGCAGTGTGGCGTATGATCGCTTGGTACATGCCTGTGAATGTGGTATTGTATATGCACAACAGCTCCGTAAGGACTTCAAGCAGAACTCAAATAAACCAAGTATTTGGTTGAAAAACTATTGGCGACGATTTGATGCACGATTCAAAAAGAATTCACCATGGGCATTCTGGCGACGATTCTACCAAAAGAAACCGCCTGAACCATCAACGGAAAGTATGAAAAGTGGACGTCTGCCACAGACCGGTGAGGAAGCCATGTATTCGCTACTTAACTGTAAAGGAAAGGATGCGTACAGGTAAGATTAAGTAGAAATATTTCATTAAACAGAGTTTATTTGAGTTTTTTTGCAGCATATTGGGAGTTCCACCTGATTGTTCGCAGGAACAGATACGTAAACACTATAAGAAAATCGCTGTTTTAGTACATCCAGACAAGAATAAGCAAGCAGGTGCTGAAGAAGCTTTCAAAGTCCTGCAACGTGCGTTTGAATTAATTGGAGAGCCGGTAAGAGTTTTAATTTTTAATTAAACAAATGTGTATTTAACATACTAATCAATTGTTTTTGTATTCAGGAAAAACGTCTTGCCTATGACCAGAGCCTAGCCGAAGCTTTAAACGCTGAAAAAGCGTGGACTGAGCTGCACGATCTACTATCGCAATTACAAACTAAAATAACAGAAGCTGCCAATACAATAAGGTACGTAACTTTAACGAAACTAGAAATATTTATAATCCATTTTAAAAATTTGTAGGTGTAGTACTTGTGGTCTAAGACATCCGCGCCGTTTAACCGATCGACCGCATTATGCTGCAAGGGAATGTGCTTCATGCAAAATTCGTCACTCTGCCAGAGAAGTAAGTGCATAAAACCATTGAAGTAATATTTGCAATTATTTTAAATGATGATCGTTGATTTTTAGGGCGACATTTGGGCGGAAACCAGCATGATGGGTTTACGTTGGAGATATTTAGCGCTGATGGAGGGCAAAGTTTATGATATTACCGAATGGGCTAATTGTCAGAAAGGTGCACTTTCACACTTAGAGCCGAATTCCCATATGGTGCAGTATCGTATTGTGCGCGGTGCACAACAGCAACAACAACATCAGCAGCAACAACAGCAACCACAATCCACTCATTCACCACATCACCAAAATCCACAGCAGCCATATTCACAACAGCCGGGATCCCATCATGAGCGAGGTGGCAGTGGAAAATTCAAACGCAATGTACCGCCGAGGTAAGTACAAGCAATCGAATTATTGCATTTCAAATAATTGCGTACTAATGTTATGTATATACAATAAATAATGCGGTCATATTTGCAGTGAAGCATCGTTGCACGAGTTCCTCGACAACTTGTATAGCGGTCAACATCCGAATGCGGCAAATTCGTCAACGGCCTATTCAAATCCCTCACGAAGGCGTACACGTCGCAATTAATTCGCCACCGTTTTGATTAATTGCGAGCCTTTTCTATTTTAATCTCTTAACACAGAATTATTTTCTCTTCAAATGTACAATTTTTTTATTACTTCATTTAATTCTTTATATAATATATCTTTTTTTTATCTAAGCTATGCATTATTGCTTTAGATAATTACAGAATACATTGCAATAAATTAATCATTGTTATGAGCGTACATATTTACATGTAAACTCCTATCGTATAAATATATTATATGTATATATATATGCGATAGTGCATATGTATGCGATTTTGTAGCTTATCATGGCATATACATACATATAAATTTGTATGTTACCACTAGCTGACAATGCAAATGCAATTGTTGCAAATTACATATGATTATTTGGCACTTCTCATTTTAACGTCATTTCTACCAAATATATTTAAAACAAAATACCTTCTATAAAAGAAGCAAAAATTCAATAAAAAATACTTAACAAAACTAACTTTGAATAAAGAAAAAATCTAGCATTAAACAAGCTGGCGTATGAGAAATTTCTCCACATTGTATGTAAACTATAAAAAAAAAACACTTTAATGGCTGCAATGCCAATGAATATTCTGTGCTATTATGTATTGTAATTAAGGGCATTTGATGTATCAGTAATTAAAAAATTCAATAAAAATAAACAACATGCGCTAAATGCACAAGTTGCGAGCATTAAAGTAACAGTTCGTTTCAATTATTTTGAGTAGGGAATGTTAAAGATAGAAGTAAATGGTCATGGCAGAAAAGCTAAATATTTGCGCTCTTTGTTATATAAGCTCTTGATTTATTATAATTACTATTACGTATTTTTTTTTTGTAAGTACTCGGTAGCAAGAGACCAGTTATACTTACCACGAAACGCTTGCAAACTACATTTTGAGGGAAAACAAGATTTTTTTCACATTTCAACATTCATATAAACTTTTATTTCAGTAAATTTGTTTTTTTTTCTATACTCTTTTTTTTTAATAATTAATATTAAATTACATATGTACATACATTTAAATAATAAGTGTTTAGCTACATATATAATATAGTATATAAAATACATATACATAAATATAATTAGTTAACGTTAAACTAAATGTATACAGTATTTCATATGGTTAATTTAAAATACATCTAGCTACAAACATACAAATGACATAGATATTTGTATAGTAAATGTTTACAGCAGTAAAGTACATACACACAAATATAGCTATATGTATTATATAAATTTCATTTACATATATTTATATATATATATATGTATACTGAGAAACAAACTAAAAATAAGATTTTTTACTTTTTAACAAATACATACATATATACTAAATTCATTTACTTGTATATATGCAGATATATAACTATATATTTCATTCACATATACATGAATATATTTTGGAATTTGATTTTTATCCAAATATTAGTGCACATTTCTTGAAAACTAAGCCTTACGTGGATGCGTTTAATTTATGTTCTTTACATATCTATGCATCTATCTTGTAACAGATTAACGCAAACGAAATTGTTTTTCAAATACTTTATTTTTAATTTCAATAGAATTCCAAGCATTTCAATACTTTATAAATTAATTACATGGGTGGGTGGTTGGTCTACCTTTTGACGTGACAACTTTATGTTAAAGTTTCTTTGATTTCCTTCGTAGAAAAGTGTATCCGTATTTTAATGAAGGCCAATTCGAAAAGTTGCTCGGAGACGACATTGCCTCAAAAATGGTTTTATATAAAATACCATTAATTTCAATCTGCTTGGCTAACTGTAAGCACTGTAAAGATTCCAGCTAAATTCAAAATTTTTAAGTTGCTCCTTTTTACAAGAACAAATAACAATTTTTTACACGCTTTCAATTTCATTGTGTACAAAAAAAAAATTAATAAGAAAAGTACAAAAAGCGCATTCAATTTTTTTTATTTGTTGTAGTGTACGTAAAAAAAATTTTGTAAATAGTATTTCATTTAACAAAAATCATACTGTCCCATCTAATGTGTTGCCTTATTAATTTCTAAAAATACAACTCTTATTTAACGTAAATATATGTATGTACTTCTTCAACACCTTAATTACATTAATTATATCATATATTAAAACAACATATTCATTGCAGTATATTCTTATGTATGCATGTTTTCATAACAAATCGATAAGATGAAAATATTCCATTTTACCATATAAATATTTACTTTTACTTGGCAATTAAATTCAATTAAACCAGACATTTAACATTAACTTACTTTTCTGCTTCAAAGTGAAAATGTTTACATTCCACTTTTTAGTTAAATCTTATTCTTTCAATACACATAACATATGTGCTTTATATACAGTATTTGATTTTGACATATGTATTGTATAAATATTATATACTACATAGTATGTATGCATGTACTATATTCGTACATATGTACTAACAGTACTTAAAGTATTATTTTTGTTATATAATAGCAACATCCATATGCATTTGTTTGAGTAATTGCCGTTTTCCCACAATTGCAATAACAATAATTTATTATTTCTTATTTAGTTTTCCTCAACGCAACTTTTGACTAGCAGCATTATCTTCCGTTTCCCTTTTTAAGTTGCTTTTAATGCACGGCAAATGCAGACTGTTATCTTGGATGTCATAATCTAGCAAATATATGTACATATTATATATATATCTCTGTCATTCTAATAACTCTACAAAATCTGTTTGCAAATAACACTGCATGATCGTTGCCTTGCAGCTGTCTCAGTCAGCGAACAGCAAAATTCAGTTGCAATAGCAAAATTTTGTAAAAAATGCATTCAATACATGCATTATTTGTATAAATTTATTAATTGTTTTCATTTTCAATTGTATGTGTGCATGTGTGCCTTACACAGAACAAAGAAACCTCGTTAAATTATTCCCATTTTTCCTTTTGGTTGTTGCTGCTTCTTATCTGCAATTTCAAAATGTATTTGCAATTATTGTTGCTTTTGCTGGTGGTATATTTCTTATAAATTTATTAGTTCGCTTTCATAAGTGGTCGTTGCATACAATAACTGTAAACATTGTGCGCAGCAGCAGTCAGCGTACACTAGAAACTCTCAAAACGCTTTATGCACGGCACGGCCGCGGCCGCGTCGCTTTGATCGCTGACTGTCGCTCGCTTTAAAGTCACTTGTATTGTTCCATCCTATTTCACAGATGTCTGAGGTAGTGCTGTTCCTTGTAGTAGTGATTGAGATGTGGTTGTTGTCCTTCAGACATACGACCAGCCGCATGGCAAGCTGATGCACCACATTCTTTCGTACGTATCGTAATTACGTACGTTTCATTTGTTTCTGTGCTGGTATTAGTTAAATTTTTGTTGTTACTTTTTACTTTAACTGCTTCTGAGATAATTTTGCGATATCATTTTACCAGCCATTGCTGATGCTCTCCAATTTGGCCTTGGCCACAGCTGCGGCAGCCGCTGCCGTCGAGGAGACTGTGCCATTGATAGGCGGTAACTGTTGTTTGCCTGCCGCTACCGCAGCCGCAGCTGCAGCGGCGGCTAGTAGCGATGATGATGGCGTAGTGGGCATGAAGTTGACATTGATATTAATTGGATGCACCACCGGCATCGTTGCGTAGTTTTTCTCCAGCAAATCAGCACCATTAAGGAACGGCACCAATACATTGTAGTCAACATTGAGCGGTATGTAGTAGGTACCCTGACCGTGCAGAGCAAAAATGGGCACAGCGAATGAACGCGCCGATTGCAAGTTGGGTGAAATGTTGGTGGTGCTGCTCGGTGTACCCAGGTGTGTCTTTGCGCTCAGCAAGCCGGCCGGTGCGCTCAATTCGGTCTTGATATCGGCGAAACTGAAAGACTTTTCATCGCGTGTACTTAGCAAACCATTGTTGGTGTTGGGCGTGCACACAGATGGCAACGGACGTGTATCGCAGTCATCCAGCGTGCTATTACTGTTCACGTTGCCAACGGCTGCTGCTGCCGCCGCCGCCGCCGCTGCCGCTTCAGCCATTTTACGCTTCTTCGCCATGATGGGTGCTATTTCCGGCTCAGTGCCGTCCTTTGAATGTTCGGACAAGGAGTGTGTGTGCGAGTGCTCGCTCTGGAGCAGCGGCGGCGCTGGACAATGTTCGCTAGACGTTTCCTCATCATGTAGCTCGTGATTGAAGCGCTCTTTTATGTGATTCTTGTACTTGTAGTTGTTGTTGTGCTCAATGTCATGCGAGGATTCGGAGAAATTACGCATGCGCGCCGACAACAAACTATCCGAAGTGTGCTGATGATGGCTCAGATGCGCATGATGATGCAAAAGTGAGTCTCGCGGCGGTGGTGAGTGCATATTTGAGGTGTCAGTGTGCAAGAGCGGTTCACGTGATGACTCAAAATCATGATTGCTGGATTCGTTATGATGGTTCAGTGTACCCGGGCCTGTCGACGTAATAACTGGTGCCTGATGGGGACGCAGCGGTGAGCTACCTGCAGCCACACCACCCCCTACCAGGACACAGCCATTAGTTGTGACCGCCGTCGTACTGGTGGCATTATTCAAAGACACTGTCGTTGATGAAGTAGTCGAATTGCTGGCAGCATTGTTCTGACTGCCGCTGCTACTATGTTCATGTACGACGCTGGTGTTAGTGTTATTGGACACTGCTGCAGCTGCTGCCGCAGCAGCAGCGGCATTACGTTGCAACTGATTCAAATGATTGCGGAAACTCAAATCCTTCACATCATTATGATCATTGCTCTGCTCGATATCCGAGCTGCCTAGCATGTCGCGCAATTGACAGAGCGGCGGTGCGGCATGATAAGCTTGATGCGGACTACCGCTCGAAGCGCTCACATTGTCGGGTATATGACAGTTGCGCGATTTGTAGCAATCATCTGTGGAAAGAGAAAGAAAGTGGAGCGTTAATACTAGGCTCACCGCATAGCAATCTCAGTGCACTTACTCTTCATCAACTCTACGCAATGCTCCTGCAGGCGTGCAACTAAACGATAACAAAACTCCTCCATATGACTCTCGTAGAGGAACTTTGCCGCCTCCTTCATGCAATCCGTATAACCCATGCGATACTCGTTCTCTTTCTGTAGACACTCGCTTTGCAAATGCTTCAGATGTCTGATGGCCATTTCGATGATCTCAGTTTTCTCTATGCGTCCACGACCCTTACGTTGATACTGCGGCGGTATGAGACGTGAGAGATCAGCCAGACAGGAATTCATGCGATCGCGTCGACGCTTCTCAATGATGCGATGTGACAATGGATCTTGCTGTTGACGAGCAGGCGGAAAATGGCAAAAATTCGTGAATGAAGAGAAAATATAAGAAATACAAATGAATTCGTTAGTTTGGCAAATACATAGAGGCTGGATTTAAGCATAATATTCCATTTATTAAAACAACAACTATTGAAGAAGAAAAAAGTAAGAGATAGTGGTGTTAGCTTTGCTTTATTGCCATGACCCCATAGCCATGGTAGTAAAAGGGAAAGAGTTGGTCAAAACTTTATTTATCAAATTTCCAAAAATTCACTTAAGCTACCAATTTATTTATCGCTCTAATATTGTACAACAACAAACTATTGTATTTAATTTAGGTGTAATATATTTATTATATATGTATGTATGTATGTATATGTGTTTATGTTAATGTAGGTATGCATGAATGAACATAATGAGTAGTGTGCAGTGCTCCAAGGCGGATGTAAAATTTTATTTAAATCATTGATGAATAAATGTGATGAAAATTAATGTTTTTAATACATAAAAAAATGTAATAATACTAATTTGTATATAAAGCTAAGCATGTAATTAATACTCGTAGTGTATGTAAGTGTGCATGTAAGTAAATATACATAATATGTATAAGAATATATTTTAAGCGAGAATAGATTTTGGAGTCAAAAGCGGTCGTGTTCACAGTGCTTTATTTTGATTTTTCTTCATTTTTTCAATTTTTCATTTATTTATTTATTTATTATATATATTTAATTTCATTAAAATATGCATATATAATAACTGTATTCTTTCTGTTTTGCGTTTCTGTGCGATGATGCAGAACATTTTGTACGAGTATGCGCGCGGCCGCTGCTGATCCACTGGGTGCAGAGAAGAGCTGTCACACAATCGAGTGTCTTCACTACTTCCTGTCTTATCATTTACTCATGTGCCACGCCCTGCCTGCCATTATATTGTTTGTATGTATATATGTATGTATGTATGTAGCTCTGAGCTCCCTCACCACATATGTATTACTGATTTCTTTCTTTCTCTATTTTTTTGTTTTTGTTTTTGCTTTTTTTTCTGGTACTTTTTCTTATTGTTTAGAACAACCATGCGAGCAATGAGCCTAACGTTAACGTTATTACGTGAGTAGAGTAGTAGTATACATATGTAGGTATGTATGGAGGTACGAATTTATGTAAAGTACATCATCCCGGCTTGGTATTATTGAATTTGCATTTATTCTGATTAGTACGAGTATTTCGTTTGCGCTCATCACTTGGGTTGATTGCTAAATATGCATATTGCTTTTTCTTTTTTTTACACAAAAAAAAAAAAAAAAAAAACAATAAGGAAAATATTTACCCTCGAAGTTTTATTACGTCTTCCGGTGGCATATTCTGCATCATCCTCGCTGTACGCTGTAGCTGATGTGGAAAAATTTAAGCTAGATTCTGTGCAATAAGGAAAACTGGATACTGCTGCTTCGCTATAATTTGTTTGTATGTAAGAAAAGGAGGAAGAATATAAGTGAGTAAAAATGTTGCTTCAATAATTGGTAAAATGTTAAGCTTTATTTTGTATTAGCACTTTTTGTTTGTCGCAAATAAATTGGTAATAAATTAAAATAAAATTTAAACTATAATATATATAAGATAATGTATTGTCTGTATATGTATAAGTAGCTATAAGTTCACAATGTGGTGTACATACTACATATAGTGCTTATCAATATATATATATATGTACATATGTATATTATATAAAAATATAAAAATCACTTAAAGCCAATTGATTAATCTATATTCATTTATTTATTTTCAGCACTGACAACAAATTACAATTTATTTATTTAATTTTTTATTACTACATACGCATATGTATATGTATATGTACGTATATTTAGTCTGCTTAACACTTTCAATGAGTTCAGCTTTCATTATCACAATGCCCGCATGTTGAAAACATGAACTCGGCGCACATACTCGTAAGCACAGATATATGTACGAGTACATGCAAGTGTTTGTAGAAAATTAGCTGTTTATATGTATGTATATTTGTAGGTACATCACTGATAATTTGCTGAGCGTAAATACTGTTATTATTGTTATTTATTATTTTATAATTTTATTTAAATAATATAATTTTTTCAATTTTTTTATAATTCTTAGTTACTAAATTTAGCTAAAATTTCGGTTTTCATTTATTTTCAACTTATTTTACTATGCTGTAATTTAAATAAATATACAAAGATTGTTCGCAGCTACCAACCAGTTATGATATTTTATTTAATAAGCTTACAAAAATACACTTTACATGTATTCAAATTTTTGTTTAATAATGTATTTAATAAATTTTTTTTATTTATATTACAAAAATAAATGAATTTAAGTGTTTCTCTTAGTGTCTTTTTATCATAATTCGTTTTTTTTTATTGTTTTCATTAAAATTTTAAACAAATACAAAAAATATTTATCTAAAATTCAAGCATTCAAATATGTCAAGGCTGCATCGTAACGATAAATATTAGTTTTATACAAAAATTTCAATTGATTCGGGTGAAAATACATTTCATTTCGTTTCCTGTCGTTAATGTTATATCATTAACAGATAATGTTAAACGCTAAAATTTATATGCGCTGTTAACATCATAGCAAGCAACACGATGAGGTTTGTACGGTTTCAACATTAAAGATTTCCTTTCGTTAATTTTCTTTTCATTATTATTATTAACAAAACGAAATAGTATCGTTTCGTTAGTTGAACATTTCTGAAATATGTAATAAAATTTTATTGACAATGCACCTAAAAGTAGGCAACGATCTTATTATCTTTGACGCTCTTTATACCCAGTAGTTGTGATATCCCGTTGCTAGGATAGCGAATGGATGTTTATTAAGGCTTGTGACCAGTGCTCACTCCTGAGAGCTAGTTGAAGCATTAGTGGGGGAACCGAGGTAGTCAAACCCCAGAGTATTAAAAGTAGTATAAATGTGTGTGTGATTCAGTTAAAAAAATTACTTTATTTTATTTTTTTTAATATATAAAAAAATAACTTTTATTTAAGGCGACTTTAAGCTTTCCTTAAAAAACGGTCAATTTAATGATTTTTTATAAAATATTTGCACAACAAGCATATTAATGGTATGTAAAACCACATTCCAAAGGAATCTTTACGCATTTTTCATTATTCTATGTTAATATGTATGATTTCATTTGAATGTACATACATATGAGCCCCTTCTGGGCATCAATTAATTACTTATTTATGTGAAATGTACATAAATATGTATGTATGTATACGTGCATGGTAAAATGAAATGAACACGTTTTCATGCTCAATCAAGTGGCTAAATTTAAATAAACACGTTTTCAATGCATGTGCCAAGTTTTATACTAAACATACATCCATACGTATCATATATGTATCTACAAATGTACGTGGTCACGTATACACAAGTGTATGTAAGTACATAATAAAGCAGCAGATGCAAAATTCTATAGTATATCCCATAATTTTACGCCTGTAGTGGCACTAATTCCACAATAAGGAAATATAAATTCAGCCAGAACCGTTAAACACTCGGAAAAAATTTAGAAAAACTACAAAATAAACAAAATGTCTCGTATGTTTGTAAGTATGTATTTTATGTTTTATTTCAGTTCGTTAGTCAGTCTCAGTAAATAAACGTGAGAAGCTTAAAATATCTTTCAAGAAAAGAAGAAAGAATTGAGAGAAAAAAAAATCAACCAAACAAAAGTAATAAATGTTTACAATAAAACAAAGCATTATTTAATACATTAAAAATTTTGTACAAAATGTTCTTTATGACTTATTGCAAAGGACTCACACATGTAGTGGCATAAAAATCAGTATGTTACAAAAATACACAAAAAACTATAAACAATGAATAAGAGAAATTAAAAATTAACTTAAAAAAATATATGAACAAGAAATTTATTTATTTTTCGGTTTTACCACTTAGTAATCGAGTACTATTAGTAGGTACATAAATATATATGTATAATATGTTTTCGTACATGTGTTGGTGTTCGCGCGGTCAACCGCACATATACAAGTGGCGCTAAATTCGTATACTCGACTAGATAGTCAAAACAAACTGTTCACAATTTGAAAAACAAAGTGACTTGCACTTGAATTCGTTTCTAGCCGCTCGTTCGAGAGATTAACCGAGACGTTTCAAGTGGTATGAGGCTAATATAAAATGATGCATACACATACCAAAATACATATAGTTGTATATATTATATAGCAAACAAGTATAAAAAAGAATTTGAAATACTTTATATATATATATGTATCTATATATGTATAAAAATATATACATACACACATACTTGTATTTAACTATCAACACCAACACTTTGTATTCATTGGCGCTATCGCTGGCCGCCGATTGACAAGTGAAACAGAAAGAAATTCGTATCGTACGCCAGCTAAATATAGCATATATATATAGGAAAGAGTGGAAAACAGAAATATATGTACAATGAAAAAACAAAAAAAAATAAGTGTAACAAAATAAGAAATAAATAAATAACAAATAAAGTGTAACAAAATAAAAAATAAATAAATAAAAAATAAAACAGTTCATATAATAAAATAAACTAAATTAAAATCATCACAAAGAGAAAAAATAAGTAATTGTACAGATAGAAAGAAAATTGAACCAGTGAAAGTAAACGAACAAGAACATTGCTTGAAGCTAAAACAGTTTTCAACGCTATTTATTTATGTTCTTAAGTATGAGACTTATCAACGACAAATAACACTTTTTTCTATATTGGAAATGACTATTGGGATTTTATTTTTTTACACTCAACTTTAAGGTGTTCCTAAACAAAAGTCATTTCGATGAACAATTTTGCTTCTTGATTTAGTGCTTAACACCAAATAATAGAATAGTTTTAGTTTTGTTCATTCTATGAATTGTACAAGTCTGTAGCAGGTACACTCTTTAGGTCTTGCTATTTGCGTCGTCACGCGTTTGTGCCTTTATTATTTTTAATCAAAAATTGTGTCAATGTTTCAAGTATATATAGATATGATGTTTGTACATATTTATGTAAACGCATATGTATGTGAACCACATAAACATGTTTATATGTAAAGTAACATACATAAATAATCGAAAACAACACAACAATGTTGACCTCGTTTTTGTACAAAATTACAAATCAGTTTGTTGTGAACGCCATAGCGTATGAGTAATATGTACAATAATTTATGTTACATACATACATATTATGTATGAAAATTTTGTTAGTCGATGCTCGCCGCTATCAGTACTAATTATGATCTTTATGCGCATGTCAGAAAGTATAAAATGAAAAAGGAAGCAAGAAAAATAAAAAATAGCGTTGAAAAAAAAAAATAATAAACATGGTCTTTGCATATTTACGCTGTAAATGTAAACATCTCTTAAATTGTACCCAAAGTTATCGGCTACCGATAATTCAATACAATGTTTGACCAAAGCTCCACCATAGCAATACATTTCACGTTGATCCAAATATTTCAATCGATTCGGTTCGGAAATCTTATCATTAAAACAAGTTAATAAAATAAGCTTTATTCCGTTTTTACACGAAACGAAATGCTGTTACCGCGATGTAAAATCCTTAACAGCTAATGTTAAATGCTAAAGTTTATGTATGCTGTTAACATCATGGCAAGCAGCCATTAACGTTAACGAAGAATTTTTGCGGTTTGCGACATTTACAATTTCATTCCATCTCGTTAACATGGCGCCGAAATGAAACAAACCCATTTCGTTAAGTTTATTTTTCATTTTAACAAAACGAAATAATATCGATTCGTTAATTGAGCATCTCTGGTTTGGATACTCGCTAAAAAATGTGCTCGCTGCTTCTTTCCCTTTTTATACATATTTCCGGTTTATTAATTTGTAAACTAAAACCTGGACAACAGACTAAAAGGAAATGAAGTATTATTAGCGCATGCAATCACGTTCCTGCCTTAGAAAATCTCGTGTACGCTGCATGATTGTGCTGCTGCACGCGTGCATTTATATCAGCAAGACTGAGTGCCACAGCTAATTGCGGCCAACGACGTCAAAGCTGCTACGTTTCACGTCAAATGTTTATTTCAGAAATAGATTTATTTAATTTATGTATACAAACATACATACATACAAACATACATACATACATATATATGTAAATGCAACTGTATTACGTGGTAAAAGACGCTTTGATTTCTAATGTATTTTAACATTCTGTGCAAACGAGATCACTCGTTTAATTCATGAAAATTTACGTGATTATATGTATGTATTTGCGCCCGGCCCGCTGTTACGTTGCTTGTTGCTGGCGCTGACACATTGATTTTTGTATTTTTTAAATCTTTGTTGTGCGCTTAAAATCAACTAGTAACAGTGAACATCTGCCAAAACCAAAAATATATATATTACATACACATTTACATACATACGTATTCGGCTAAAA